TTTCGAACTCCGATTCACACGGATATGATCATGTAGCGAATCATGACGTAATTCGATACTATGCTTCACACCCCTTTTCCCGTGCAAGTGACCCGAAAAAAGCTCCACTCGTGCCCTATGATTAGTCGGCCTTAAAGACCTCCTCAAATGCTCGATTTTATGATTTCTCCTTCGACTAAAACGTGATCCTCTTTGTTCAAAATACCTAGGTTGTATCTTATCTTCTAATTCATATTCATCCCCACTAGAGATATATGGGCTCGTTTGTCCATCAAATTCTTCAATGTCTTTATTTCTCCTCCTCCTCCTCCTCCTCTTACGCGATCTCCTTATCGTTCGTAACTTGTAACATAAACACGAGCAGCAAAAATCGAACGAGGAGAAACAAGTGGAAAAACAAGCCCACGTGATTCGAAAGAGCGTGCAGCAAATGCATTGACAGATTCCGAGATTGTACAATAGGTATAAGAATAAGAGCACTGCATATGATTCAGTGAGGTATTAATTATCAATTCAAAAGGAAACTAAGTGCGAAAAATTCGGCAAGAAATTGCTTGAATTCTATGAAAATTCACCGAAATACACCAACATTGCCACCATAACAAATTTGAGCAACTGAGCAACACAGAAATTTTCGATGTAACAGATGAAATCCCATGTTGGAGCACATACAGAGCTATGCCAAAATGAAAAAAAAAAATAAAATAAAATAAGATAAAATAAAGCTCAATCATACTAGTAATAACAATAAGCATAGATCATCATCAAAATTCAAAACAAAACAGAGGTGCAATTTGTTAAGCGCTCAATCAAGATGGAATGTGAAGAAATTGAACCAAAAACCCAATTATTAAGAAATTTATAATGGAGATGTAAACTTTACTTGCAGGATTTTCCCGACAGGAACTCAAGAGGATGGCCGAGGACTTTGTCGATGGCTCGACCCAACCCGGAAAACAACAACCCGACGGAATTCCCCATGGATGAATGATAACTGCTTTACGCCCAAAATCTCGTCATATTTTGGAAATTTTTATTAAGGTTTGATTGAAAGAAATACAGGAAAATAGAAATGAAATTAACCTTTTTTACTTTTGAGCGAGATTTTCTTCAAATATTTCAAAGAAGAAAATGGCGGGGGTCATCTCCCTTCACTTTGCAACTCTCTGTGGGATTAGTGTAATTATTTCTGTAAGCCCAAACCCATGAGGGTATGATTGGGCCAACCAATTTTCATATTTTTTCCCTTTTTAATCGGTATGTTAGTCGTCCACAACAACAACAACAACAACAATAATAATTATTAAAATTAGTATAAAACCGGTGTGATACCAGATTCAGAAATCATGGACAAATGTCATTGGAATACAAAAAGTGGTGCCAAAACAAAACTCAATTTTCCCTCCATAAAAAATGCAACTCACAAACCATTTGAAAGTGTGTCTTAGCAAGTAGACCTATTAGCTCTTTTATTCTCTCCAAAACAACAAAACCCATTCAAGTCCACAACAAAACCCTGCATCAACAGCACTTTCCGAAACTCGAAAGGCCCAAAAAAAGAAAAAAAAA